GGAAGACTGAGGATTAACTCCAATGAAGGAACCAGCTTTTTGGCCGAGTTTCTACCAGCAACAAAAATTAAATGCTGTGGGCTGGTTCTGGAACTGCTTCAACACAAAAGCACTTCACTGTCAGGATCCATGAAGTTATTTTTACGACTATGCTGTGCTGAAGTGAATATTCCAATCATACAATACTGCACAGATTAAAAAGCACTAAAATTAACAACAGAAAGCCTCCAGATATTCGGTTTTGCAAGCACATAAGCTGACAAGAAAAATAATGTCACTAAATTCTGATAGATTTATTTTAAGATCCCAATCCTGGAAGTTCTTATGACCTTGGGAAATCTCTCATATGGGTCCCTTGGACCTTAGGAGGAAGCCTTCACACAACAGCATCATTTCAGAGTACCAACCTGCAACAAAAACAGGGTGCTACGAGACAAGCTCTTTAGGTGAAAGCCTGTACGGCCTTCTCCGTTCCAGAACTGCAGTGAATAATCCACAGCACACAGCTTCTCAGTTTTCTAGTACCTTTTCGGGGGTGGTGGCAGTTGTATTTTATTAATTTCAGTTTTCTAATTATTTTTTTGGGTACTCTAGGTGAATTACATGTGGACAACAGATGTCAGATCAGACAGCCTCAGAAACTGAAACCTTGCATTCATCCAGAGCAGAGATTCAAGACAAGCAGCAGAGTTAGCCCTGCCCCCCTGCCACCCCCCGCAGCAGCGTTTCTCCATCCTGAACCTCCAAATACCACTGAGGTATGTGGACATGAAGTCTTGCCCCTCAAGTACCAGTCTTGCCTGCTCAAACTACCCAAAGAGAAGAAAGTTAGGTCACTGGAGCAGTAGCCTGCATTAGCAGACACCAGTACACTGCCAGCTCAAGGCAGAGACCAGTGTTTACACGGCAACAATTTTCCATCATTATCCAACATGCCAGAACAAGGAAGCTCAAGGTGAAAGGTTCCCTGCCATTAAGACATGATTTAACCTCCACTCAACATATCCAATGCATCCCTGCCTGTTCTGAGCTGTTCTTTGCACGTTAAACTCTGTTACATTCTGATAAGAGCAAGTATTTCTAATCCACTCATATAATTTCATATTTAGTATTTTCTTGGGACTGTAGCTTCGCTAGGTTTTTCACACACGTGCCCATATCTACGTGCATGCACAGCTTTCCTGGATTTTCGGCTCTCACCCATATAGCAAAGTTGAAACTAGTGAAGTTGTTAAAGCCATACTCCTTGCTACAAAAGTTTTGCTGAGGGACACAATTCCTTTGCCAATTTGTGACTCTTTTCCTTCCAGGTCTGGAAAGTAGCTCACACAAGGTAAAGAGAACATCAACACACAAGAGCAGAGCTGGCTGTTCACAGGGTGCTCCTAACAAGAAAGCTGGGTTTGCTCTGTGCAGGTTTTGCTCTCATCTCTGTCAGCTATGCCACCTGGAAAACCGCAGAAAAGACCTTAACTGACCCGACCATAGGTGACAGATTCACAGCCCTGGTGCACAGAGAGGGAAGAGGGTCTCGTGTCTAACAGGGGCGTGTTTTGTTAAATATGATCAAGTTAAATTTATGTGTGCAGGCAGTGCTACAACAGAAAACCCTGAGGAAACGAGTCCTTTTTATTGGCATAGCAGGCTACTAGAAAAGGACAGTAGGCTGCATACAGACAGGCAGTCTTCACCCTGTAAACCACTAGTCCCTTTACTCCTTCTTCTACAGTCTTTTATAACACACCTTTGATGACCAAACTATGGCTCTAAGCACCTAGGAATCTTTGTACCTCTTACGATGGCTCACTGATAGCACATACACAAGATTTCAGCAGTTCAGACCACCAGCAGCTGCCAAGTTTTAGCTTCATGACTAAAAAACCCTAGTTAAAAGCCAGTAGCCTCAAGTCAGAATTTTATATTATTGTTCTTAGGGAGTTGTGATACCTTGTAATTTACTTGTTTCAAATCCTCTAAATTAGTGCCACCTTTTCAAAGATAACAAAGCTACCTACCACATGCACATGGGTTCTCTTCCATGACTCAAACCACTTTTGAGCCAAGTAATAACAATATTTATTTTCACAGAAAGAACAGGTGTTATTTTCGTTAAGAGATGTTTTGAAAGGACTAGAAGCAACTGTGAAGAATGAAAGGCTGAAATTAAGTATCAGTGTACAGAAAAGCAGAAAGAATCCTTTTTTTGTTGCCCCAGTTGGATCAATTCTTTTCTTTCCTCCTCCTCCTCAAAGAAACCCACACACCCACAGCAGAATAGATACCATTTAAAACGATTAAGACTTTTTTCCACTGAGTGTTGCCCACTTTTGGCGTCTGACAAAACAGGATCTTGTGCTTGTCACACACAAATATTCGGTCCAAGACGAATTTGGAAACTGCAGTGTGAGAGAGATTTCTCAATGCAGTGTCTCTGCAGACATTCCTGAGAAGTTCAAGTCTTTCCATATGAACCAGGGGTTGGCGGATCGGATTTCCAGAAAAAGCTTTTCCAGTTGGCTTTATGAAATGCAGAGGGGAAAGAAAAAAAAAAAAAGTGCAAGAATTTAGTTTTCAGATCAAATTCTCAAGTACAAAAATCCCCAAACTGTGCATCCTAATGACTCCCAGATTCACGATCAAAACATTGCTATGTATTAACTAAAGGAGTAGCACACAGTTTCCTTCCTGTGCTGCTGTTGTACACGTCAGTTCGACCCTTAAGTCGTTATCGTTATGTTGTAGTAGACAGTAATAAGGAGCTTTTCCATACAACAATTTAAGTCCGCTGCAGAGCAGAGCAGGGTCTTCTCTGTGTGGATACAACATGGCTTGATTGGAACTCCCACAAAGCTTCAACAGCAAGTAAGAAAGCTTCTGAGGGGCTAGGACAGAGATTTCAACAGAAATTAAACCTTAATCTCTGAGAAGATGGGGCTTAGGGGTGCTGACCAATCTGGCTGGGAAAGAATAATTTAGGATAAATGTTCCGTGCTCTTTTCTAGTAACTGTAGGGATTCAAGTGTTTCCATTTGTCCAAGCTGCAACAAAATTAAGTGGACAAAAATTCACACGATGAGCATCAGCACTTACTGTGGCAAATGAGAGGAGTAGGCAGGATTCCTCTCCCCAAAAATGGATGAACTGTTTGATATGTCTCATTCTTCTGAGACCAAGATAGGAATCACTACCCCCTCTGCCTCACAATTAGTAGGAAGAGAGGAAAAAGGAGCTTGTCTGATTAACAGGCGATGGGAAATTTTTAAAATTTATACTGACAAATCTTCCCCCTTCCTCTCATTGAGTTACACAGCTGGCAATCCCCAATATCAATACAGCCTGATCGAGAGCAGCCCTGAGGAGAAGGACTTGGGGGTACTGGTGGACGAAAAGCTGGACATGAGCCGGCAGTGTGCACTGGCAGCCCAGAAAGCCAACCGTATCCTGGGCTGTATCAGGAGAAGTGTGGCCAGCAGGTCGAGGGAGGGGATTCTCCCCCTCTGCTCTGCTCTTGTGAGACCCCACCTGGAGTACTGAGTCCAGCTCTGGGGCTCTCAGCACAGGAAAGACATGGACCTGTTGGAGCACGTCCAGAAGAGGGCCACAGAAATGGTGAGAGGGCTGGAACACTTCCCCTGTGGAGAAAGGTTGAGGGAGTTGGGGTTGTTCAGCCTGGAGAAGAGAAAGCTCTGGGGAGACCTTATGGTGGGCTTATAAGAAAGAAAGAGAAAGATTTTGCCAGGGCTGTAGTAACAGGACAAGGTGCAATGGTTTTAAACTAAAAGAGGATAGATTTAGATTAGATATAATGAAAAAAGTATTCATGATGAGGGTGGTGAGGAACTAGAAGAGGTTGGCCAGAGAAGCTGTGGATGCCCCATCCCGGGAAGTGTTCAAGGCCAGGCTGGATGAGGCTTTGAGCAACCTGGTCTAGTGGAAGGTGCCCCTGCCCATGGCAGGGGGGTTGGAACTAGATGGTCTTTAAGGTCCCTTCCAATCCTAACCATTCTGTGATTCTGTGATTTTAGGTACGGTCTCCAAGCTACACATGAAAAAGAAATTAATTTACTTTTTGTTCCAACCGTCCGTAAGGAAAAATCCTTCATTCCATTCTGGTTTTTCTGTCTGTTACTCTTCTCCAATATCCCCTGGTCAGAATGTAATCTGAACAGCCTGACAGACCGCTTATCTGTCAAAACAATTCATTTTGCATGCAACCAGGATTAATATCATTGTTCTGCATTTCATGCTGTTGGGAAGTCAAAAGGGAATAGTTTTAGATCCATAAACCTTATTATCCTCTTCCATACAAGTAAAGGAAGATATTAAAACTCACTACACAGATCTGCCAGCCTTCTACTGAACAAAATGTTTCTCCCAAGTACTTTGAGGATACCTTAAAATTCGAGGGTTTTACGATGAAACCAAGAAGTATCATGTTTATACAGAAACCCACCTTCCATGCAGCATCACAGAAAGACTCTAAACATAAGGTGACTTATGTAACCAATGGAAAAAAAAAAAATTGGCCTTACCCCACTGTGATTTTCCCTGTGAATTAGCAGGTACCACATTTGTTCTGCTTTACTGCTGAAAGCACAGAACTATGCATCTAAGGGATCAACTGGTATTGAACACTATTGTGTTCATGTCCTACTTTGGAAAAACCGCTGAGATGTGAAGCACAGGGAGCACAAAACATGAAAAAGAAATGGAGATTGATAAAAAGCAACAGAGAGATTGGGCAGAGGACTAAGAGAATAGACAAGACACAGGCTTGTCCTCAAGAAACATGAACCTGATGGCGATGGCAAGGCAGAATACAAGTAATCCAAAATTGGGCCATTATATTAAAAAGGCTAGCAAAAATGACTGTTCTGACTTGATAAAGGAGAACTGTAAGGATTTTCTCCTAGCAATGGAAACACATTAAGTTGAATCATTCAGATGAAACAAGACAGCAGGTTACTGTAACAAACCAGCTTTCTGAAGCTAAAATGAATTCTGTTGGCTCTATCTAAATAGAACAGTCTGAACAAGTAATTCCTGCCTAGCAATTCCTTTTAACAACAGAAGCCCTTACTTAATCTCTTATTTTCTCCCACGCTTTAATACACGTAACCCTTATCTCAACAGTATGCACCTGGAATTCTTCAGGCCAATGTTTTTCCTCTGGCACGTGTACCTCCTCAACTTTTGTCACAGCTGTCAGTATCAGTGGCTCTTGCTTGGCACCGTAGCCTAAAGAAGGGAGAAAGATAAGAGCATTACAGAAAGCGGGGGGGAAGGCAACTATTTTTGCTTTACGACTAACACACCCGAATGTCACTTTCTGTATTAAGCTTACAAAACATTAGGATTTGTTTCCAAATGGGAAAGTACTAGACAAGGCATGAGACAGACTATGAATATTTTAAAGGATATATTCTGTGGGAATTTTGGATGCAAGTTCAATGAGGTTTATCAAAGAAACACATCCGTTTTCTTTTTTTTTTTTTTTTGGTCTTTTTTAAACAAACTGTGTGAAGAGACACATAAATCATAAATCCAAATATCACGATTGGTAGGCAATCGAGTATAACTATATGGACGTGACAGTAGGAGATTTTTATTTTTCAATAAACTACCCAAAGCATGTCCAAATAAAAATCTTAATCTACCAGGGTTCTTACTCCCCTCGTATTAGTAAGCAGGTTTCTTCTGTTGCAAACTCTTAGACATTACCAGAAGAAAAGTGTTATTAGGGCTACCTTTTATTTCTTTGGTGCTCTAAGTAAACACCTCTAACCAGCAAATAGAAGATCCCCTCTTCCTTTATTACTGGACTGATGGCCTCACTTACATACTCCCACAGCGAAAGAACAAACTCAGCTAATAACTCATCTTCTTTTTTAATGATTTTTGGGCAGCAAATAGTTTGGGACCAAATTAAAATACATTAAGGGAAAAATCACAGAATGGAAAGGGTTGGAAGGGACCTTCGGAGATCATCTAGTCCAATCCCCCTGCCAAAGCAGGTTCACCAGGAACGTGTCCAGGTGGGTTTTGAGCATCTCCAGAGAAGGAGACTCCATCACCTCTCTGGGCAGCCTGTTCCAGGGCTCTGTCACCCTCACAGTGAAGAAGTTTTTCCTCGAGTACAGGTGGAACTTCCTACATCCCAGTTTGTGCCCACTGCCCCTTCTCTTGTCACTGGGCAACACTGAAAGAGTCTGGACCCATCCTCTTGACACCTGCCCTTTAGATATGTATAAGCATTGATGAGATCCCCTCAGTCTTCTCCAGGCTAAACAGACCCAGCTCTCTCAGCCTTTCCTTATAAGAGAGGTGCTCCTTTCCCCTGACCATCTTCACTGCCCCCCACTGGACTCTGTCCAGTAGTTCCCAGTGTTTCTTGAGCTGGGAGCCCAGAACTGGACACAGCAGTCCCGCTGTTGCCTCACTAGGGCAGAGCAGAGGGGGAGGCTAACTCCCTCGACCTGCTGGCAATGCTCTTTTTAACGCACCCCAGGATACCAGTGGCCTTCTTGGCCACAGGGCACACTGCTGGCTCATGGCCAACTGATGGTCCCCCAGGACTCCCAGGTCTCTCTCTGCAGAGCTGCTTTCCAGCAGGTCAACCTCCAACCTGTACTGCTGCAAAGAACTCCCTGCATCGTTTGCAATTGGTATGCTACAGGAAAACTGAAAAATAGCACAAGGCTGTAGCTTTACTTTACACGGTGCAGGAAGATCAAAATCAATTGGAAGCAGCTTTTCCTAACCACAAAGCAAAAAGATACAGGATCTCTCCCCAATAATCTTTTTCCCTTCCTATAGTTTCTTCTATGAATAATCTTTCATCATCTGCATCCACGGTGGTTTACTGTTTTATAGTCGAGAAAATGTGTCTACTGCCACAACCTTTTCTTAAGCGAGTACTCTACTCTGCCTACGCTGGATTTTAACAAAGGGCACGCATGGCAAAGCCAGTTAAAACTGAAAACAATGTAAGCATCCAAGCAGTCAGCTACAGTAAATATTGCTGTGCACAGACTTACTTCATAGTATACTTTTGTAATCAAAGCTATCTGTGTCAGTGCAAGAGCAGTTAAACTGGGTAAAAGCATGTCTGCAAGTGCCACTAGAGACGATGGGAGAGAAACTCAGTCCTTCTCATTAAGAAGCTCCTATTGCTTATGCACCCAAACATCAGTGAAAGAACATTGATTCGTTGAGCATCTGCTAGTTTTGTTCTAGCTGCTAAGCAGACACATCCAAATAAGGAAAATTCCTGACAAGCCATATTTTATTAAGTCTAGTTCCTCCAGGACTGGCCATCCTGTTGGGACTTTCTCCAAAATTCTGTTGGTAGACTCACATTACTTCCCTTCATTAGTCCCAGTACAAACACTGGTATCTCCAACACAGACATACATTTCACCACAGTCATGCCTTTGCAGGGCTGGAACTTAAGAAATTACACAATCTTCTGCTCAAAGAGGTATTTAAAGGGGAAGGAAGATTCAGCATGGACAAAAGAAAAAAAAAAAAGAAAAGTTGGAAAGCCAACATAATAAAAAGCAAATAAATGCAAAGGGTGTACTCTAGTGATTTTTATTTTTTTTTTTAACCACATTTTAATCCATCTGACAAATTCTGGTGGAAAGAATCACTCAAAGAATACCTGAGCTGGAAAACAACAGTTGGCATATAATGAAATACTGGAGAATTTACATACCTAACATAAGACCATCTTATTTGCAGATGTATTAGGGCTCAAAACCAGGTGGGGCCAAGCAAAGAGAAGTTAGCCTACAGTTCCCATCTGGAAGACCTGCTGAATAAATCTCCTCACAGAGCTACGCTATTTAGAAAGGTATACCGAATACACTTATCCACTATCAAGGCATTGAAACTAATGGCACTAGTGATGTCAGCACTTCAAAAGTCACGCATTCTTTGCATACCTTAGGCAGATGCAGAAATACAGATCTGTTAGGGCTGTAAATCAGGTCATCACCTTCAACCTAAACTCTCTATAGGGTGGCTTTGTAGCAGTAGCTCCTCAGCACACAGAAAACTGTAACATGCTGTGTGGTGTCATCAAATGGCTTAAATTCCTCATCAGCTTAATACCATCTGGGCTACTTAAGCTAAGCAAAAGCCTATAAGCTGTTTGTCAGTCAAACAGCAGAGGATAAAACTGAATGCAAGAAGCAGGGCAGAGGTTGCTAGGCTAAGTGCATTGCAGATTAAATAAGACTTTCCACAAGTTTTACATAATACTGCAGCCATGGGACAAGCAGTCACAAGAGGACAGAAACTAGCATCATGTGAAATGAACTCTTTGATTCCTTGTGAATTTCCTTTAAGCAGGTAATCGTGCTCTGTTGTTTTGCACGTGACTTCTAGTAGATCAAGATACTGAAACTGCATGTATTCACTGCATGTATTCAACTGTAGTCACAAGACAGTACTGCCTAACATGATCCACTCTGTTCTTAACCATCAAAAAAAGACATGATGTTAGTTTTGCAGATTCTGCCAGGAAAAGCAGAAACTGCATATCAGCACTGTCACTTCTAGAAATTTAGCTGTTCTGTTCTCAGTCCTACTGAAGAAGCAGTAACATGCCGAGAACTACTTTGCACGGAAAGAGCACATGTGAAGCACTACTTAACTTTGTTTCACACCAAACATTAAAGTTGAACTTACCATCCGGGTCTTTAAAAGTCAGTGTGATAAACTTGCTAGCAACCATGAACATGAATATCACCCAGAAGCATGCAGCTAGCAGCAGCCACTGGTGGTGCATGTTGTCAGACGGGAGCCATATAAAGTTGTTGCTTCCTGTTGGAAAGAGGAAAAGTTGACACATTAATTATTTTTGTTCCAGTTTAGAAAAAATGCTTTCCATAACCAAAAGGACAAAACTCGTAATACGTATATGTGTCATAAAACACAGCATTAGATTTCACTTCTTTCTTGAGTCCTTTTGGCTAGGTTTTTAACCAATGTTGAGGCTGAGGCAATGTAACCACTGACTGCTGTCAAAGGAAGGCTTCACTCCTCTGTCACCCCTACATACACATTCCCAGCCCCTTCCTGGGGTTGGGACTAGCACCATCTGCCTGGCTGCTCAGGAAGACAGGCGATCAAACCCTCGATATTTTTAAGTGTATTTTTTTCTGATTTAACTTTACAAGACACCTCATTGTAGGGAAGGAAGAATGAAGACAGCTCCCCCCTCAGTGGTAGCTAGTCAGCATATCAACCAAGCTGTAACACTCACAGTACGCTCGGTTATCCCCAGTCAGCTCATAACATGTAACATGGACTAGATACATTACAGGCCGGAAGCTACGGAGCCAGAACATTAAGCTTAAAAATTTAAAGTATTTTTGTCAGGTTATCTTGCAACTTTTATTGCTAGCAAACCATAGGTTCTGGAAGGTTTTGTTGGGTTTTTTTGGTTGGTTTTGTTTGTTTGTTTGTTTTAATTTCCATCATGCTAAGCACTATCCACATAAATAGCAAAAAAGGGTTTCCTTGCAGCTACCTGTAGCTGCACCCCTGCAGTTAAGCCTTAGCCAGGACCTCCCCAGGAGTGCAGGAAGGGTTACCCAAACAACTGAGACCACTGATGTAATTCCCATAGAAACCACAAGTACTAACTGAATCCAAGCAGAGTGAAGATGAGGATACCACACAGTATTGCAAACACACAGTGTCTGCCCTAACTTGCACAGCTTGTAAGTTTGCTGGGGTGCTCTGAATACTTCTTAGCTTGATTTTAGGAACTGTAATCCTAATAAATTGTTTTTTATGGTTAAAAGTTAAGATGCAATACAAAGAAACCAATTCTAAAAAAGATTTAGAGTCCCTAGCCATTAAGAGAAATGTGTCATTTTAAGCTACATCTTGTTTTGAGCTTCCAACTTCTGATGGGCAAAGCACCCAGGGAAACACTGGGGCTGACACAAGTATCTGTTAAGGCTCCCTGCAAAATTTAAGCTTGCATAACTTTAAAAAAAAAAACAACACAAAAAACCCCCACAAAAAAACCCCAACAGCAAACATCACCGCCTACCTACTAAAACCTGAGACTCCACAGGCTTGAATATTTACCTTGCAAAAATCAAGTACCATTGTCTCAGCTGTTGCTGGAGAGATAAGACACGCGAGGGCCTGAACTCGGGTGCTGGCAAGTTCAAATGTAAGCGAATGCTTCCTTCTGAGGACACATGTAACTTCAGAATACTTAACCAAAGAGGATATAACCAAAAAAAAAAGAAAAGAAAAAAAAAAAAAGAAATCGCATTTAATGAGATCCTCCCAACAGTCCTGTGAGGTTTGTGCTTGTAGCCTTGGGAAGAACAGAAAACCAAAACCACCCACGTATCTAGCAACAAGATCAAACTCAGTCCTAAAGTAGCAACTTCAAGGAGAGTCACATCTGTTATGGTTTGCGATCATACTTTCTACACAGCCACTAGAATGAATAGCCAGGCAATAAGGGAGAGCTCCTCATTCCCAGCTATGATGCTGAAAACATGCTAGTTAATACTTCAGAGCAAACTTTCTATTAAGTTTTTCAGTCATATACCAGTATTCCACCCTTTTCATTCCCACAGGGCTTCAATAACCAAAGTGAGCCTGGTTTTGCCGTTGTTTCAGCATGTCCACCTGCAACATCAGTACTACGGCCACAGGCGCTGATCCCTTCTCCAACCAGCTTTTGCCTTCCAGCAACGCAACTGTTTCCAGGAAAGGTCTCTGCAGCTGACAGAAGTGAAACGTCTTCAGGGTAAGTCTAAAGCCTGCGCAGGCAGACAAGCAGTTCAAAATATATCTGGGACCTTAAGGATGTATGTGAAATGGGTGGGATGAGGAAGAGAGTAACTCCAGTTAAAAGAAAAACAGAATTCATAATATTCAGCTACAATGGCAGTATTCAGGCCTATTTTTATTTCCTCAGTGCAACATTCTTCAGTTTAGCTTCTGAGGGGTGCTTTTTTCCCCTTCTTTCATGATTTCATTTTTACATACTTCTCCTAAATACACTGCATTCAGGATGCATCAACTGTCTTTCAGATATATACAGGTGCTGTGACCTTCATAAACATATTTGTTGTCTCCCATTTTCTACCGGAATTCGCTAGCTGCCAACTGGGTGTGCAACATTCAGGACGTGTTACTCTTCAGTATGGAAAACTGTTGGCCAGGAAGGGCAAATAATACAGTGTGAATTCTACAGCACTAAACCCTTTCCAGATAAGCAGTTCAGAAGTTATTCTCGTCCTACCATCACACCAGTGCAAAATTTGCTCTAAGATTCATGCTGAAAACCACCAGGTCTCAAAGGTCCTGATTTTTCCATCTGCCACAACACCCACCATCTCCCATTTACAGCACTGAGATTTATCACCTTTGCTTTCAGGCATCACAGTCATTTGGAAAATTTTCCACAAATGAGAAAAATGCAAAATAGAAGTCAGGACACAAAAAGCAGCAACAACACTTCTACTTTTTTGGGTAGTTCTGCTAAAACCATGAGAACCATTCAACATTCAAAATACAATTTAACCTGTCTCCAGGGCAGCAGACTGACAGAAGCTTGCAGAGAACACTCTGCGGGAGGAAAACCTCTTTCTAACCATCAGCTGAAGGCTTTTCAGAGACATGACAAATGGCCTGGACTAGACCCTTCTGTCTAACCCAGTACATTCGTTCTACATAAAGAATGACAGAAGTGGCCTCCAACATTTGTAGCATCCCTGCTATTCCGCCTGCTTTTCTAACGGTGATGGATGTGCACCATTCAGTAAGGTTTATTGATCTATAGCCTCTTTATGTAATTTATATATTGGATTTCTAAGAAGTTGTGTTAGATGACATGGGGAAAACATTTTCCACGTGCTCGGACCTGAAAAGCAGTTGGTGCACACAGGACCCTGATGCCAGATCCTGTGCTCCAGGGATAGGAGAACAACATTTCAGCCAAAGACACCTAGCAGTACAGTACTTACCCCAAAGACTGGACTCTTACACCAGAAAGGGGACAGAATTGCAGTCACATCCCTAACAACCACCCTTCAATATGCTGAAGCTGAGAGGAAAATAACAGGTTGTTTTGTCTACTCCTGCTGCACATAGCCCATGCTCATCAATGTAAGAATCTTGTCAGCAGATTTATCATAACTTAATTAAAATGGCTGGCACTCTTACTCATTTCTGCCATCCTAAACAAAACATGTCTATTAGCAGCTCACTACCTATCTCAAGAAGCAGGACTGTTCAAAATTATCTACTCAACCATTTTGCTCACATTTAAATGCAATGACCAGTAATGTTTTTAAAATAAAGTGTTCTCTAGCTTCTTTAATATTTTTATCATTTTGACATAGGTTAGTTGCACTTACTGTTGTATCTCTGTTCCTAATGGCATTTCTGTTGCCTCTCCTATTTTTTATTTTGTAGTGAATACACATACTAGCTTTTGTTGTTCCCTCTGTAATAGTTTCTTTCAGCTTCCAAACTTGTCTTTCACGTCTTCTTGACTAAAATATTTTTTCTTTACAAGTAGAAAAACCAAGAAAGCTGTTGAAGGTTCCGTTCATTTTCTCACAATGAAATACGCAGGGATTTTTCAGGTTGCTCCTTCTCCCTCTTCCTGCAATTCTGCTCTTTCTAGGAGCACAAGATCCCCCAAACCCCTCTCTCCATCCATTCCTCTGTCCTTCCCTCCCTGGGATACTTACCCCAAAGACAAACGGTCACATAACCCTCAGTTCAGCCAGATGCCAGTTTTGCATGAGCAAAAATGAGATTGCAAACACAAACCCAAACCAAAGATCAGGACACAAAGTGTGGCGGGCTTGACCCTTGGCCTGCAAGTAACATGTTGTCTGGAAAACTCACTCATACTTTGGGGAAGGGTCTTGTTCTTCGTGTGAACGACAGGACAAAGCGTAGAAGATTTAAACAACATTAAAACTATGCTGCTTGGAGAAGGGCTCCGTGGCAGGACAGTCCCTGCACGCGTGGCGAATGACAGCAACGTGCCAGTAGTCTCAAACTGCTTGCCCGTCAGCACATGACTAATGATGTAATGTTTTTTATTTTTTAGTGAATACACATACTAGCTTTTGTTGTTCCCTCTGTAATAGTTTCTTTCAGCTTCCAAACTTGTCTTTCATGACTAAAATGTTTTTTCTTTACAAGTAGAAAAACCAAGAAAGCTGTTGAAGGTTCGGTCCGTTTTCTCACAATGAAATATGCAGGGATTTTTCAGGTTGCTCCTTCTTCCATTCTCCTTCTCCATTTCTCAGTTGAAATGGAACTGCTAACGAAGGCCAAACAACAGCTAGCTGGGATACCTAATCCATTTTCTTCAAGACCTCCTTTGTGTTATCTTAAAGGGATCTGGGCAATTTGTTAACACTTCCAAAGAACAGTTTGGACTAAAAGCTACTGCACGCTCCCTTAGTAAGTTGTGTGGTGCTGCTAAACGTTGTAAGGTACGTTCTAACAGGCATTTCCGAAAGCTGGTTCTTTCCTAAAGCTTTCCCCCGCCCCGACAGCACGAACAGGCCTATCGCCTCTGCCCTCCCAGCTGCCGCCGGAGCGCGTGCCCGCCCCGAGCACGCACGACTCACCTGTCACCGGGGGGTAAACCGCCCCGGCGAGAGCTGCGAAACCC